GTGCAGAAGCTGACTGGTGTGGGGTTAGAGACCGAGAGCCCACATTGGCTGGGTGGGTCAGGGTGGACTTTGAGCTGCTTCTTGAAGGGTCAGTTAGAAGGGAACAGCGAGGACAGTGGCAGGCATGAGAGAAGCAAGAAAGGTGTGAAGCAAGCTTGGAGCACAGCAACACTGAAAAGGAGGCCAGAAGAAGAAGCCAAGAAGGATGGTCAGGGCAGGAGGAAGGCAGGAAAGCAAACCACTGAAGATGCCAAGAGGACTCTTCTGAGGAGGGAGGCACCAATGGGATCCAAGGCCACCAAGGGGTCGAGTCAGGTACATGTTAGGTTTTTCACTGGAGAACTTAGCAAGCACGGGTTCCACAGCTCAGTGGGGGCTGGGATCTGACTGTGTGAAGCTGGGGAATGACTGGAAGGTGAAGACAAAGAATCCACTTGGCTTGATTCCTGAAAATTCCCCACAAACAAATCAGACCCAGGACAAATGGCTAGAGCCATTAAATCACTACGATCCATATGAAAAGAGCTCGGTCACAGCTACTGTCAAGAAGCTGAGTCCTTATGAATAGTGAGAACCAACTCCAAGCCCAAGGAATTTGGCAGCCACTTTGACAAAAGTTTATCTGCCAAAGAGAACAGCTGAAGTCACCTTAACATGAGTCACTGAATTACTAAAGCAAGCATCGCTTTCACAAAGGGACAGGAAAAGCAACAAGTAGGCCATATTCATTCCACAAATATTTACTGAGCACCTTTCATGCCTTAGGCTCTGAGAAGGTACCCAGAAAAGGTTACAAAGAGGAGTATAATGTAACTCCAGGGTTGGACAAATAGGCCAATGGAACAGAATACAGAACCCAGAAATAGCTTCACTTTCACATATAATCTATATGACAGAGGTAGCATTCTCAGTGGGAGAAAGGATGAACTACTCGTTAAGTGGACCTGGGATAATTGGTTATCCGTATGAAAAAAGATGAAGTTGTATCCCTACCTCACACCACACACAAAATCAATTCCAGGTGAATTGAAGACTTAAATGTGAAAGGCCACATTTAGAAACATTTAAAAGAAAGTCTTATAACCGCAGATAGGAAAGGATTTCTTTAAAAAATTATACAAGTTGCTAATTATAAATGAAAAGGATGATAAATTCAGCTATAGTAAAATTTAAAACTTCTGTTCATCAAAAGTACTATAAAGCAAATAAAAAGACCTGGCACAAACTGGGAGAAGATATTTGCAATACATAAACTGACAAAGTTCTTATCTAGAATTATATAAAGAACCCTTATAATGAATTAGAAAAAAAGAAAAACAAACCAATAGAAAAATGAGCAAAAGTCATGAATGGTACCTCACAGAAGAGGAGACACGAATGACCAATAAACATATAAAAGGATACACAGCTCTTATCAGGAAAATGTAAAGTAAAAGCATGATGAGATACCAGTTTGCCCACTGGTTTGGCAAAAATTAAAGTCAGATGATGATGATGTGTTGATAAAGACATAGAGCAACAGGAACACGTATTCACTGCTGGTAGAAACCTAATGGTACTGCCGTTTTGGAAAATAACTTGACATTTTCAAAGGAAGTTAAATATGTACCTGCCTTACAAACCAGTAAATCCACTCTTAGCTGTGTGTCCTAAGACTCTTAACACAACCAGGAACTATGATTAAGAATGTTTGTAAGGGGCTTCCCTGGTGGCGCAGTGGTTGAGAGTCTGCCTGCCGATGCAGGGGACACAGGTTCATGCCCTGGTCCGGGAAGATCCCACATGCCGCAGAGCGGCTGGGCCCGCGAGCCATGGCCGCTGAGCCTGCGTGTCCGGAGCCTGTGCTCCGCAACGGGAGAGGCCACAACAGTGAGAGGCCCACGTACCGCAAAAAAAAAAAAAAAAAGGATGTTTGTAGCAGGATTGCTCATTAGAGGAAAAACCTAGAAACCACCCAAATGTCCATCAATAGGTTAATGAATAAATAATGGTATGTTCATATGATGAAGCACAGTACAGGAATGAGAATACACTATAGTCACATATATCAACGTATATGTCAAGTGGAAAAAAGCAATTCAGAGAAGAGTTCATTGTATTAGCTATCTACTGCTGTGTAACAAATTGCCCTGTAATTTAGCAGCTTAAAACAACAAACATCTGCTATCTCACAGTTGATATGCATCAGGAATTCAGGGACAGCTTAAATGGGTACCTCTGGCTCAAGAGGTCTCATGAGATTTTAGTTCAGGCCTGTGGTCTCACCTTAAGGCTTGACTTAAGGGGTTTCTGCTCCCAAGTTCACTCACCACTTGGGTGGCTTCTCCCAAGGGAGAGCAATTCAAAAGAGAACAAGGTAGAGATCTCCCAGACAGAAGCCACAGTCTTCCTATAACCCAACCTTAGAAGTGATAGCCATATTCTGCCATATTCTATTCCTTAGAAACAAGTTACTAGGTCCAGCCCACACTTAAAAGGAGGGGATTACAAAAGTGTGTGAATACCCCAGGAGGAGGGAGAATACCGGGGCTCATTTTAGAGGCTGCCTATCACACTCTTATGGTATGATTTCATTTTTATAAAATTCAGAAATAGGCAAAACTAAATTATATATTGTTTAGGTAGGTATACATAGCTAGGCAGAAGCACTGTGAGGAGTTTGAGATTAACATATACACACTTCTATATAAAAAATAGATAACCAACAAGGACCTACTGTATAGCACAGGGAAGTCTATTCAATATTTTGTAATAACCTGTAAGGGAAAAGAATCTGAAAAAAAAATATATATATGTATAACTGAATCACTTTGCTATAAACCTGAAACTAACACAACATTGTAAATCAACTATACTTCAATTAAATTAAAGAACTAAAAAGTTTTTTAAAAGAGAAGGACTGTGAAGAAAAACAAGAACACAAACATGAAATTCAGGATGTTGAGGATCTCTGGGGGGACGTGGGAGGCTGAGAATGGAGAAAATGCACAAGTAGTTTCAACAGGACAGTGAGTTCAGGAGTGCTTACTTTTATGCTTTGTAACTTAATTTTATGTTATATATATTTGTGGTCTTTTTCTCTTTGGTTTAGTTTTGTGTTTGATATTATGGAAGTTATACCTGCATACATTTAGAGTCAATTGTTCTGTGGTATTTGCTGTCCTCCACCAGTTTTTCCCATTTATGCCTCCCCAGGGGTAGCGCTTTTACCTTCTTTTGCTAATTAATTTTAACCTTTTCCTCCATGTCTCTTCATAACACACTGTATTGCTGCTTTTCGGTGCTTTGGTTTCGGCATCATCCATCCCCTTCCCACAGCGGAAGATGAGGATTTAGTTCCTTTTCCTCCCCTCCAACTCTTCCTGTCCCCCCATCCTCCTTTCATCATTATATAACGTTTTTAGTTAGATCAGTAATCAGTGTTTACATTACTCAGCCAACACTAATTTGACTCTATTCAGAGCTGAGCCTTGTAGTAAAGGATGATAGCTTTTCCTTCCCTGCATAACTTTTTGTTTCTCCTGGTTAATTACCATGTTTGTTCATTTGCTTAGTTTGCTGTGTATTTATCACTAACTCAATTCTAGACTCTGACAGTTGTCTCAATTTCTTCTCAGGATGTTTAGGCACTGCAGGTTTTCTATCAATTTCATCTTCTTGGAGAAATACCTTCCAGAGCTGTCTAACCTGCTCCAGTCTGGACGGGTTGCCCTCCACGCCTGGTGCGTGGCCGTCACCCAAGGACCTCCTGGTGCCATCACCCTGGGCCTCTCTCCTCTGTGGATCCCCAGTTTCCTCCATCTCAGGGCTTCCTCCTTCTGGGTTTACTCCTTTGTTCTGGTGACGCACACCGTCCTGTAGCTTCATGAGAAAGCGTGCAAAGGAGGCAAATCTTTGAGAGCCTTGGCTAGTTTGGGATTCTGGTTTGGAGACAATTTTCCTTCAGAATTTTGAAGCCTTTATTCCATGGCCTTCTAGCTTCCAGTGCTGCTGTGAAAAAGTCCAGAGTCACTCTGACTGTTGATTCTTGTGTTTGACCTCTCTCTCTGTCTCCCTGGAAGCTCCATAGCATCTTCTCTTTTCCCCCTGGTGTTCTAAAATTTCACAATAATGTACCTTGCTGTGAGTCTATTTCCATCCACTGTGCTGGGAACAGTGGGCCCTTAATCTAGAAACGTGTGTCCTTCCGCTCTGGGAAATTTTTTAATGATGTCTTTAATGATTACTTCTTTCCTTCTTTTCCTTTTTTCTCCTCCTCCTTCTTTTTTTCCAGTTCTCTCTTTCTGAGACTCTCGGTATTTGAATTGGTAGATTGATTCACTATTTTTCTCCTATTTTCATCTCTTTCACTGTCTTTTGGGAAACTTCCTCAATTTATTTTCCAGCCCTGTGGGAGGACTTTTTTGGTATAGCATGCCATTCTTGTCTCATGGGTCCAATATCTTGTTTTATCTCTCTTAAGATGTTAACTACAGGATTTGTTTCAAAAGTTCTTCTCTGTTAATGGTCCGTATTTGACCCAGAGTCTTTTTTCTTTGTTTGTTTAATTGAATGATTTGGTCTGTGTCTTTAATGTTTGACACTTTCCTCAGATGTCTGGGGATTCCTGGTTGTCTGCTTATTTTTAAAAGCAGGAAACTAAAACTGTTAGTTGTAGAGGGATGTGAAGAGAGAGCAAAAGTAACATGTGTGTTTCATCTACCATCTTTATCCAATTGTACAATCTTCCATATCTATCATTTATTTCATAATATTAAAAAGTGAAAAAACCATAGTCCACACACGCTAATGATAAATTAATAACTCTAATAACCCTAAAAAAATACCTACAACCTTTTCCTCCTTAGCCTTTAAGGAAAAACATGGGACACTTTTCTCCAAAAAATTCTCTATTGCAAAAAATATCATGAGATTAATATGTGAGTTTGTGACAAGTGTAAACCCCTCTAAAATTGTGAATAGATTTGGAAGCAATTTTTCCCTTCTCTCCACTCCCACAGTCCTGAATCACCAGCCCTGCTCTCTCACTTATCACTTCCTGCTTGGTGAGTTGCATGTGTGTCTTATCTCCATGACGATGCTCCAAGCCACGGGAGAGCAGGGTGCATGTCCGACTCACCTCCAGATCTTCAATAGCCCCTGTCAGAGGGGAGATCATCAAAGTCTGACAAACGATGAATGAATAACATCCTCAAGATCTGCTTCTCCTCTCCTCAGCACACATAGTTAGCACCAAGGGATTTTAAATGGTGAATGAAAAAGAAACCCACAAGAACATAAAGAGAATTTAGAGAAAAATAAAACAGTAAATCAAACCTCAACTTTAAAAAGAGAGACACATTACTGGTTGCTTTTATTTAATTCCACTTTGAGTTCTGATCTCTTTACCTCAGAATCCACCCACATATGAATAGGATGGGCCGTGGTCCTGAGGGCAGCCGAGCAGCTCAGGAACTCTAGTTTAAGCAAAGAAGGGAGGACTTTAGAGACCCAAGTGCACAGCAAAGCCAATACGTCCACAGAAGATAGGCTGAAAATTAAGTCCAAACCCCGTAGTTCAGCATTCAAGTCTCTCCATTGCTTCTCCTCGGGTACCTGCAAACTTTCTAGAGGTTCTCGCTGTCTGGGACCTGTCTTCTTTAATCAGTCTTACATGTAGCTGCTAGAAGAATCATTTTCAGATACCAAGTGTCTCATGTCCCTTCTTTGTCCAAGAACTTACAGTAGGTTCCTTTCATCCCTTCATCAGATAGTTTTCCAGCCTAAATGCCAAGACATCTTTATCCTCATCCCCCTTTATCTTCATCCCCCGACTTCATCTTCATTCCCCGCTCCATCATCATCCCTCCCTCCATCTTCACCCCTCCCTCCATCTTCCTCCCTCCCTGCTGGGACCCTCTACCCACTGCACTTGTAAATTCCTGCCACTGTATTTTTCCACAGATTGTTTCTCAGACTGATAACACATACCAATCTCAGCAATCATGGTAATTGCTGACACTTAGTGTGCAACTACTCTGGGCCGAGCGCTGTGCTAATATTGCTGGTGAATTATTTTCCTTACTCCTCCCATCAGCAGATAAAGAAACTGGGTCACAGAGAGGTTAAGTCATTTGCCCACAGCCGTGGAGCTACTTAAGGTGGACCTGGGGCTCGAAGCCAGGGAAACTGAGCCCGAGACCACAGGCTCGCCTCCTCTCTACCCACTGCCTCAACCTCACTGTCATCAGACCTGACCCAGGACCCCTTCCAGGAGATGACGACCCCGGCTGTACTCTACACATGTGTTTGCTTGTTGCTGGCTTGTGGCATGGAGCCGTCTCTAAGTCTTGCCCCGTCTGTGTCCCCACACTCAGCCTGTCACTGAGTCTCGCTGCTTCACAGACTCCAAAGTCCATCCCTCCAGGGAAGGAATCCCCACCACTAACCTCAGCACAGGCCCTTAGAGCCAGGGTCACCACCATTCTTCCTGGCCAAAGAGCAGCAGGCTGTGAGTGGAGGGGACCACATCAGCCCAAGGGTCTTGCAGAGACCCAGGGCTGTGGGGAATGGGATGGGGAGCGTGGCTGCCCATCCAAGGCCATGTCAGACCTGGGATGGGGCTGGTGTCCCGGGGCAGGGCAGGGCACACTCCCTCTTGGGGATCAGACCTGGGCACCAACAGCCTATGCTACTCCAGCGTGGCCAGATGAGCAGACACAGTGCAGCCCTGGGGACATGAGGCCAACTGGAAGGAGCAGGCAGCCAGGGTACCATCTGGGTAGCCACAGAGTATCGCTGGGGAGCAAGCAAAGCAGGTAGGGGAGGGCAGGTAAGACAACCAGCAGAGCTTTGGGGAGGGATGTCTGCTTTTCAGATGTCACCCCTAGAGTTCGGGGCATGCATGCCCTTGTGCAGACAGCTGTGAAAGGCTAAAGCCACCCTCCTCTAGTTGCTGGTAGAGGATTCAAGCTGGGGCTGGACGGCCCACCAGCGATGTGCTTACCGGGATCTGCTCAGGCCAGGCTCAGGTGGGCCATGAAGGTTGCTGCCTGCACCTCCCTCCTGGCTTTGCACATTTGCTTCCCACCTGGCTACCCCACCCCTGTGCTGCATCTTTTTTAATCAGTCTACTTACCACCTACAGGCCAGTCTTCCCAGTGGGCCATGTCATCTTGTCATTCATCTGCTCAAGAACCAAGAATCATTTCCAAGGCCTCTAAGAACAGATCCAAACCTCTTATCCTGGAATTCAAGGCCTTCCAAAATCAGACCCTTGGTCTCCATAGCTACCTCATCACTTGCTACTGGAGCCCAGGTGCCCTCCTGTTGCTGAAACTTCCTCATCATTCCCCAAGGCACACAGCAGTTGCTTCCATCTCCCTGATGCTGAGGGAATAGCGAAAAGGGCATGGGCTTTGCTTTGGTTACTTCCTGTGTGTTTTCAGGCAAGTCACTCAATGCCTCTGTGCTTCCAGTTGCTTACCTGTAAGAACACTTTACAGGATGTTGTGAGAATCTGTTTGTACACAGAGTGCTAGCTAGCCACAGGGTAGTTTGCATCGTGTGGCTCCTGCTAATACAGTGTGAGTCAATAAACGGTATCCGTCATAGAGTGCCCTTGGTGTGCCCCACTTACGTGCCCTCCATCTCCTTTCTGATTAGGAGACTTCTGCCTCCTTTTACACTCATCTCCAGATGCACCTGTATCTGCAGCCTTGCCAGCACACCTGACCTGGGGCGGGGGGTAAGGGTAAGAAAAGCAACATTTGTCAATTGCCCACTGGGCGCCAGACCCTGTTGGTGGGGGTGTGGGGCTCAGGGAGAGCACTGACGGTAGCAGCTAATACTTTCTGGGGGCCTCCTTGTACCAGACCCCATCCCAAGCACGTCATGTAAGCCTTGCTGGTAACTCAGTTCTGTGGATTAAGGTTCCTAAATGGCTTTCTGCTCTATCCAACCAGGATGGTTTGGTCTCCCTGGCCCCATCTCACCTTTCTCATCCAGTGGCCTCCAAGAGGCTGATGGGAAGAGTTTATCAAGGAGTGATGTCCCTGTCATTCAGGCTCATCCTGTTAGAGAACATTTTGAGAAAGGACCCACCTTCATCTGCCCTGCCACCCCAGGTGCAGCCAGGCCCAACTGCTGCACTCAGGTTGGGCCCTGGCTTTTCATAAGAGCATTTCCTCTGCCTGGAACTCCCTTCCGCCGGCCGGCCTGGAAAACTCAAGCCTCTGACTAATCCTCCTACATTTGAGTCGAGGTCATTGCCCTTTCCCTCCTGTCCTCCAGGTGCCTCGTCCACTCACTTACTGACGCTTTCACAAATGTCTGCATCCTTGATGGACCCTTGCCCTGGGCTGAGAACCCTAAGGCAGGGGCTGTATCCTGTTCATCTTTCTATCTCAGTGCCTGGCACAGAGCCTGGCCCACAGTGGGCCTTGGTGTTTGGGGATGAAGGGAGGGAGGAAAAGGATGGGGTGGAATGGGTATCCGGCAGAGGGAATGATGGTGATACATTTCCAGCTGGTTACTCCCAGGGCAGGACAGCCACGAGCCTCCATCCAGCTCAGAAGAGGAGGCCATGGCTCTGTGGAGACTCCAGAGCCTCCCCTGGAAACAGCTCCAAGAGAGCCCCGGCTACTGCAGCTTCCCTCCAGACACCTGGGAGGTGCCAGTCTTTGGGCTCCATCAGCCTTCTTAGGGGAAATTGCTAAATGCGTTTGGTGATTTTTTTTGACATTTTCCTTGTTCAGGAGCTTGTGATTTCAGATTAATCACATCCACATACATTTAGACTGTCAGCTTGGAAGGGAAAATCTAAATTTTATTACTGCATGATTTCATCCAAAGGGATTTTACTGAAAGGACGTCAATGATATGGTGCAAATCATGACGAAACATTTTACCGCTGGGACCAAGCTCGTGGTGGGGGGTTGGGGGGATGGACGGAGAACTGTAGGCAGGACCTGGGTGGGCAGAGTTGCGGCAGCTTCAGTCTCCTGAAGGGAATCCGTGTGCCACCATCGCTGCTGTCTCCATCTCAGCAAAATGTCACATTTCCTCCTTTGTCCAGGTTTGCCCAGAGCCTTTACTCCCGGGAATGGCAGTTCCACTAACTAACTCCTGTCTTCCCCCCCGGCAGGTACCATGACCAGCAGGACGTAACTAGTAACTTTCTGGGTGCCATGTGGCTCATCTCTATCACATTCCTTTCCATTGGTTATGGGGATATGGTGCCCCACACATACTGTGGGAAAGGTGTCTGTCTTCTCACGGGCATCATGGTGAGTACCTGCCTCGGCCAGTTACCCTTCCCCACCCACCGAATGCTGCTAGGAGCAGCGCCTTTATGGTGGGTGCAGGGGGCCCTCCTCATCCAGGCATGGGGCCAGCTACTAGTTAACAGGCCAGCGTGTGTGTCCCTGCGCGTAGAAAGGCAGATGTGAAATCTGCGTGGCTTCTCACTGTTTCATTTCCTTGTCTAAGATAGGACTGTGTCCCGGTTCCTGACAGCTAATGGCCTCTTCCTAGCCCCCCAGAAATGGGCCGAGAGAAGCTGGCCGTGGGTCTTACCCTCTGCTCCCATCCACCAGCCCCGGTGAGCATTAGGGCTTGCAGTTCATTGTCCTCTTTCCTGTCGCCTGGGCCCCGCAGACCTTGGTACCACATCTGATAGAGTATAGCTAGAACTCACTGAGCCGGCCATGAGAGACCCCTGTCCTAGACTGGGTTGGACACTGGTTCAGTCTTGGTTTGATGACATGGCCCTGGGCCAACTCTTGGCCTCTGCATCCAAATGTTGAGGTCCCAGGTTCCGAGTGCCAGTTCTCTCCCAGTGTTGGCACCCGGCTAGCCTGTGACTGCATCCCCATCTCTCCCCAAGTGTCCAGCAGCTGTGCTGCCTCCTTTCAAGGTGTATATTCCTCCCGCCCATCACCCTGCCATCCCCCACCCCTGCACACACTCGTGCCCATCACATGGCCACACAGTACGGAGTTTGGGAGAGATGTGGGTAGGGAGTCGGACCAGAGTCTGAGTCCCTGTTACTCACTGCAGCGCTGGACCCCTCCTGCTCACCAGCCCCACAGCTGCAGGCCTCTGACCCCATGACCTCACTGTGGACTCCAGGCAAGGCACTTAGCCTGCTGGACCTCAGCATGCTCAAGTACAAAGTGCGGATGGGAGGCCTGCTCTGCCCTCCTCCCTGGCTGGTGATGGGGATAAACTGCAATGCTTTATGTTAACGCACTCCGTCAGCAACAAGGAGCTGCGCCGCCTTCAGTGCTGGCGAGCCCTCGGCGTCCCTGCCGCCACTATTCCTTCACTGGCGGGGGGTGAGGGCTCCTCGCCTTGCTGTGCTTTCTGTCCAGGACAGGCAGCCCTGCTCTTTGACATCCTTCCCAGAACCCCAGAGTACAGAATAGACACACCGGGTCCTCTTTTCAGAAGAGGAAGCCGAGGGTCAGAGAAGGAGCGGGCAGCTAAGCCTGGGTGTCGTGGGGGTGAGGGTGCACAGGAGGCCTGTCACATGGTCCTAGGTCTCCGCGGCTGGTTACGGCAGCCCTCCCCAGGGAGCCCTCTCTGCACCCCCATCATCAAAATCTTTCCAGGGCTCCCTCAGATTTCAGTCACCACCCCCACTTCTCAAGCAGGACACAAAAGACCCTCCTTCTGAAAGGGAAGTGACTCCTTTCTGCAGTGGGAAGGGGGTTAAGCCCTCACCAGCCTGGTGGCCTCCTGGGACTGATCTCGGTGACAAGGCAGCTCAAAGCAGCAGAGGCCATAGGTCAGAGGCCTGGGGCCGTGGGGCTGGTGAGCAGGAGGGGTCCAGCGCTGCCATGTCACAACTGGACACCGTCCTCTCCCCTTTCGACTGAAATCCAGAACCAGTGCATATCAGCAGGTCCTGGGCAGCAGTTAATGAGAAAAGGCTTAGCGCCGGGGTTGGGATAAATCACGGGTAAGTGTAAGGCCTCAGAACAAATACCTCCCATCGGTTAGTAGGAGTCTACCTGGCACAGTTCCAGCTGTCACCAGGAAACCAAGGAATGATTCTTCCTTCCAGAAGGGAATGAAATGCCACCCGAAGGCCAAAGCTTTCCTGTCTCAGAGCCGCTCGTGGGGTGCAAGCTTTGTGCCTCAGCACCAGCTCTCAGCCAGGCCCGCATGGAGCCGGGCTGCCAATAGGTGGATGGCCCTGCCTGGAGCCTCCGTTATTTTTAAATACCAGCCATTCGCCCTCTCAGCACCGAGCTGTGCCTCATCCAGGAAGCGGCCCCATAGCCACCATTTCCCTGGTTCCCTCACTCCTGCATCTCCGGGCTTCTGCTCTGGCACGGCTTGGGGGTGGGTGGGCAGGACCCCTGGGCCCCTCCCTGCCTTCTCCTGGGGTGTGGTCTTCAGCACGCTGGGGCTGTAGCAGCTCCTTGGAAAGGAGTGTTTGTTTCTTGTGGAGAGAGGTGTGATCAAAGTGGAAAGAACAAACAAGTGAGGAGGAACCCATACCCACCCCCCATATTAAAAATGCAGCACGTGCCTTTTATCTTCTCCTTTTGCACAAACCCTGCTGCGTAAATATACACCTATCTATAACAGGGATAGGGAGTTCCCCTCATTGTCAGTGTGTTTACCCAAATTAAAATCAGCTGCCTCCCTCTGGGGTCTGACAGTGAGGAACCCTGGTGGCATTTTTACTAACAAATGTGACTTTTCCAGCTGAGTCACTCCTTTCCAGGGTTTCGTTCGCATGGCTGAGAATCCCTTCCTCCCCTCTCCCAGCCTCCCTACACTTTGTACATCTCCTGATTATTATTGCAAGTGCCTTTACTAAAGGTAGGGCTTCCTGTTTGGTTACCATGGACACCATGCAGGCCAAGGCAAGGCCTGCTCAGGGAAGGGAAAGGAAGAATTTGTGTGTGCGGGCTGTAAATAGTCTTAATCATTGTTTTCTCTTGGCAATCCCAGTAATGGTGTAATTATCAACCATTAAGCAGGGTATATAATTGTCTGGACAACTTGACGTTGTTGGCACAGACCTGGTGTGTTTGAGAGATTTCACCCACAAAAACAGGTATCTCAAAGTGCATCATCTTTCCATAAAGAATTTTATGATGACAGTTACAAGGTAGAGAGAAAGCTGGCAATATTTAGTATCCAGAATGGGCCTTTGAAGGCTTTTTGGTTCTGCAGGCATCTGGAAGACTTTTGGGGCCCCCAAGACTCCTTGGTAGGAATCCCATTTCAATATAGCCAGTTTCTAAAGCTGGACTCACTCTGTGGACCCTTCATGAGTTAGGGACAAATAGACAAAAGCTTCCAGGATATCTGTGGGGGTCACTGAGCTTTTCCCCGAGGCTTCATGAGAGAGGCTTCTTTGAACTGCAAAAGGAAAGGGATGATGAAGTAAAAGGTAGCACAAATTGAGTTATTTGGGGAGGAGGGAAAAAGAGGGCTCAGTAAGACATCTGCTTAGTGTCAGTTTTAGAGGATGAGCTTCTCCCTGAAACACCTTGGTTTCAAACCAATTGATGTTATTTTAGTTGTTACATGGTATCTGTTGCAGAAACAGAATCCAACTGTAAATCCTCCAGGCTTCCCTCCTCCATTTGTCACTTTCATTTATGTTTTATTTTATTTTATTTTTTGCTTCTTTAGTTAAGTACACCTCATACTTTTCCCCTTGGGATACTTGTTTTTTGAGACTCTAAGGTTTTCCAGCTGGAAAATGTTTCTTGGAAACAAGGAGTAGGAGGACCAGAGTGGAGGAGACCGGGTCTCTGATTTGGGTCCAGATCTATGGATGAGTTAGGCATGCTGACCGCAGGCCAGCCGCTCCTCTCTCTTTTCACTCCTGTACTCTGCTCACCACGTACCTTGGCAAGTACGACCTCATTAGAGGTGAACCCTCTCCCCTCCCACAGCCCTCCCATGGAAATAGTGTTGGACAGAGAAGACCCAGGGAATTCAGCTGGTGTCAAAAAGGATTCAGGACTTGGCACCTCTGAAGGCAAAAGTCTGAGTCATGGATCTGCTCCACAGTCTGACCCCATGGAAGTCATCCCAGCAGCTGCTTACCCTCTTCTGTCCCGCTCCGATCTCTCCTCACATGGCCCCCCAGCCCACCAACCATTTTTGAGATTCCACACGAGGACAGCTAGGACAGCAGGAGCTCTCACACACCCAGATCAGCCAAGCCCTTGGCAATTTGTCTCTTAAAACCAACCCGCATCCCTGCTGTATCACATAAGCATTCCCAAACTGCTAATAGGGTCCTGTCAGGCTGATAAACTCATCTACGTAAAAAGGCCCAGAAGGAACACAGGTGATCATTATACCACATGAAAGGTGAATACAGCAGGAGGGAGGGGGAATCCCGTAGTATTTCCTTTATTTCCTCTAAAGAGCCAAAGTTGACCATTACTTCTGACTCAAGTCTTAGGCTCCTTGTCCTTCCTGCCTTCCACTCAATTCCCATCAACCCATCCTTTTTTCCTATTCGTCTGCTTCTTCCTTTCCACTTCCCCTGTCTGTCCCATGCTGTTGAGGAGGCAGCACAACTTGTTCCCTGTCTCAGTCTCTGCCCCAGCTCTATATCTCTCTGCATCTTCCCTCTCCCCTTCCCTTCCCTTCCCTCCTCTCCCCCACTCTTCTCTCTCTCTCCCTCCCTCTCTCTCTCTCTCTCTCTCTCTCTCTCTCTCTCTCTCTCTCTCTCTCTCACACACACACACACACACACACACACACACACTGGAGAGGATCAGTTTGTATTTCAGCACCCTGAACACCACTTTTTGAAGGTTGCTGACGTCTGAGCCCATCTTTACAAGGTTGCCTCTTAATGGGAATGACCAGATTAGGCTTCATTATTGGCTGCTTCCCTAATTCAGCCAGATGATGGATTTTCTAAAAGAAAAGTTGAAAGTATCCACTGCTATCTATTCAAGTTAGAATTAGGGGCTAAGAACCAAGCATCCTTCAGAGAAATATCCATAGGAGAGCCTTGACATCTTTAAGTTGAAAGACACTGGGAAATGTCATCTAGCCCAGCCTCCTGCCTCCATGCAGAAATGAATCTTAATCATATAAGATAGATGGTTCCTTAGTCAGAACATTCTAGCTTCTCATTAGACCCCTTCTGCATTCAGCAGCCTAGGTTGTGAGCCATAGCAAGAACCATGGAGCAATCCATCTAGACCCTGGAACTTCGGGATTGTGGATGGTTGATTGTTTTAATGAAACCTCCAAAGTGGCGTGGTGAGCAGGGAGACTCCTTCAGGCTAATTCTGCCCCCAGCTTTCAGGAGTGATTTAAGCAGAGTTTCCCTGGACCCAGGGAAATGAGGAAGCCTGGAGCCTGGGAAGAACCCTCTCCATCTGATGTTCCATTTTTAACACAGCGATATATCCCTTTTTTGGGCATTCAGCCCAAAGTTCTTTTGTAGCTCCATACAAAAGAGAGGGATTATATACTCGGTCTGCTTGAGGGGAAATGGAGCACACATCTTCCCTCTAGAACAGCTTCTTTTTAAGCTATTTTTTGCTTTTAGAGGCCTGGCTCAATTGATGACACCTGCAGACCAGGCTGTCCAGCTGCCCATACATATCCTTTGAAAACTGGGCACAGAGTCTCCTGCAAGTCACAGATGCCAAGAAAACAGGGCCGTCCCTGAACAAGAAAGGAAAATGAGGTCAGAAAAGGAAAGTTCACACAGGCTCCTTTCTTTTCAGTTTGTTGTGCTAGAAATGGGTGGCTAACCAAGTGTACCTAGAAACATGAGATTGTTTTCATGGGAACCCTTGTAAAAAGCTAGGGGGAAGCGTTGCCAACTTCACCCGTGCCAAAACCTTGCACCGACCAACCTTTGCCAACCTGTGGCAAAGGAAAGAGATTATGAAGGAGAGAGTAGGGGATTGATCTACTATATGCATTCCGCCCAACTCTGGTACTGATTATAGTACCTTTGAAAACAGTCTTTAAGGTTTCCTATGCATTCCGTTAAACTGGATGAGCCCCAAATGTTATTGATGGATTCCTTCAATCCTAGGACCTCAATTGCTAAACTGAGCTCTGTGGCAACTATAATTACTGTTTGGCATCTAGAGGATCAGACTGCTGACTTTTCTGAGCTTATTGTCGCTTTCCATGAGTGGAGGTCAGGATGGTGCAGGGCCCCACGTGCAGGAAGAGGGTGATGGTCACCGAGGGGCGTGTGCTCTCTTCCAAGAACCAGGCAAGGGCGGGTGTGTCGTCTGCTGCCTGCAGGAGAAGCAGGGCAGGGGCAGTTCTCTCTCGATCCCCGCCCCCACAAGGTCAAGATGCACAGCAAAGAGGACTTCAAAGTCCTTTGGAAGAATGTTGGGATGAGCCCATTTCTGCTCATTTCTCAGACAGTCAAGCATGCGCCCAGAGGATTAGGAGAGAGAAAGGGAGTCCTGAGGAACCGACCTCTTTTACTCACTCTCCCTGGGCTTCCCTGGAATGGACCTTCCAGAGCAGAATAAGAATGCTGCTCTGGAGAATACTGAGCGCCTTCTGCGGGTTCCCTTAAAACCCTGATTTGAGGCAGGTGTGTTGTTATCGTCTTTTAAATCTCTGAAAGGTGGTGAATTCATGAGCCTCCTGGTGAAAGCAAGAAGGAACTGAATTTCTTGTGCTGAGTCATAGGCTAGACCTCCAGTGAAAAGACCCAACTGGGAGCAGGCTCAGTCACTGGGTGCACAGACTCATGCCAACCACTGTAGCCCTGGGAACCAGTCTTGGCGGGGTGATGCTTTGTTTCTTCGTTAGATTATTTTCAGGAAAACTCTCCACCACCAACAGGTGATCCATCCATACTGCACAGCTTTCTTTCCTCCTGGCCCCCTGGTCTGGAGCTGGCAGTGGGGCTGGGATATGCACGAGGGAGGGGGAGCATATGTGGATTTTCTGTCTTCCCTGCACACCCTGGCAGGTGACCAAGTGATTGTTCGGTGTTTTAAATTCCCCCGAGCCTCAGCCCCATCCAGTATCCTGCTCCATGAAGAACTGGCCAGCTTTATGAAGGCTCAGTCTCCCAGAGGTCAGCTCTGCAGCTAAGCCAAGAGCACTGCAGACCCCTTCATGGGTGCGGGAATCAGGGCCCTGATGGGTTTTGTGGCTTGGCCTTGTCCAGCCAGAGTTCAAGTCCCCACTCCACTCCTGGAGACCCCATTGTGGGCCCGGGGCATGTGGAGTCTTCCGCCTGAGCCCTGCCTCTTAATGATGTGCTCTCTCCTCTGGTCCTTTTGCTGTCCCCTCACAGGGTGCAGGCTGTACTGCCCTGGTGGTGGCCGTGGTGGCCCGAAAGCTGGAACTCACCAAAGCAGAGAAGCACGTTCACAACTTCATGATGGACACTCAGCTCACCAAACGGGTAAAACGCCACTGTCCACGTCTTAACGGGGGAATTAAGACCAACATGGGAGCCAGTCAGAAAGTAGCCACAGTGGGTTAGGGCCACACCTTTCAGTGGAGGGTTGAGGGAGCCCCAGACACATGCAAACAGCCAGCGCAAAATGGGCACAATGTCCCAACGCTGAAGGCTCCTGTCTTCTCTTAAATCACTGTGCATGGTTCAGGCAACCAAATAATTTTCCTGATAATTAAATCTATAGCATACAATGATGTAACCCTCCCCCCTTGCCTAATGGTACAGAGTAAATCACCCAGCATGGGGTGTTTTTGCTTATGCTTAAATATTTTCATGATTCTCATTAGGAAGGGCAGTAGAAAGTCTTAAAAACGATATTGGGACTGTATCTAAATCCAACCCTTTAAAAAAAAATCATTACAGACAATCACTCCTAAATAACGTTCATCAAAATGTCATCATCCAATTTTCCCCCTTTTGGGTTTTCCAAATAATGTTTCTCCCTTGTAACATCATGAAAGTGGGTAAGGAAGGTGAAAAACTGAATATAAGCGGGAATGGGGAGATCATTTAGCTGCTAAATTAGTCTGACACCCCACTGAATTGTCAGAGAAGAAAAGGCCCATTTAGGAGAGACAGAAACGAGCCTTCCAGGATAACAGCAGGCCAAATGAGCACGGCAGAAGCTGTTTATTTAATGACAGCTTTTATGGAAAATTCTTCAGAGCTGCAGGCTGAACGAAGGTCAGTAGTATGATTTCCTGCAAAACTTTCCTCTTTCCGAAATGAGAGTGAAGCAAGACCCTGTGCTGGGGTCTTGGCCTCTCTAACAAGTTTCTCATTTAGGATTAAAGTGGGTTAGGAGACCCATGAGCAATGAGATTTTGATTGGGGTTTTTGAAAGCTGGAGAAAATATTCAGTGATGAATGTTGCAGCACAGTAAAAATGTGTTCTAAATAGAGACAAAGGCAGGAAGGGAGAACAAAAAGAGAGGGAGAGTGACAAAGGGTGAGCGTGCTCACTCAGAGGGAGGCGTGGGGGAATGGGAAGTTGCCAAGGCCCCTCCAGTTTCTCAGCAGAATTATTTATGGTGTTTGATTGTTTGGTCTTTGATTACGTGTACTGGATTCTTTAAAGAGCCTCCACAGATGTTAAAAAGAAGGGGTACAGGCAAATAGTCTAATGTCGCTGCCATACAGATGGTTGTATATGGTACATCCTGGCACTGAGGTGTCCGTGGTACAAGCAAAAACATGATTTGTATCATCAAGATGGCAGGATTGAGGGCCATACCCGTGGGTAGGCCAGCCGAGTTCCACCCAGAGCCCTGTAACCTAGCTGCTTTCCTTCAACCCCCTAGTAAGCATACAGAAGTATGCTAAGTATTGAGCAAATTACCAAAGTTGCCTCTATTCTCCTGGAACAATTCGGTGCAGGAGTCAGGGGCAAGGGAGTCTAGCCTCCAAAACCTTCTCAGAAGCTGTTTCTTAGAGCAGAGACGTTAACAGCCTCTCTGTTTATTCTATTTGCTTTTTGAAACCAAGGATATACTTTGTATATCATGTTATTCCTTTGTCCTTTCCATTTTTCACTCTGTGAATCAGACATTGGAGGAAAATAAAGCCGAGGAAAGCCAGCTCCCTCACATGACAGGAAAATAAACAATTTTTCTGCAATATAATTGTACAAGGAGATGAAATTGTGGTTGCTAATTTCAAGCTTCCAAAAATAATTCTCTAAAATCTTCCTCAAGTCCACTTACTTTTAGAAAAGTGGGACTGAAAATCAAATCAACAAATATTTATTGCCCGTCTATGAGTACAAGGCATCTTTTTATCGAATAACATCTCACTTTTCTGAGAACACTTAAATCTGTTGAAATGTCCCTTTAATATCTAATATCTTTTCCCAGAGAAACAAACAACACGAAAGGAGTGGCTCTTACAGAGAGAGCATTCTCAAAGCTGGCAAGACTCTTTTACCTAACCTTGATTGAAAGGAAACTGGCTGTGAGCTTGGCCTGCTCTGGCTTCAGCTCCCCTTGACCTGGTCTCAGAGAAGCCCACCTTTCTTCCCCTGGTGATGCCTCATCCATCCTCTGTCCTCTCCAAGCGGCCCACTGTGTCCAGCAGGAGTGGCTCATGGGTCAAACGAAATTCACAGTGAATTCTCAGTGAATTCGCAGAGAAAGGCCTGATCTTTGGAGGAGCTGATTGGGACATAATTGCAAACCTCTCAAGAGAGGACGATTAATAGATTTAACAGAGAAAAGCCATCTCTTACAATACATGCAATCTTAATTCTTCAAACCTCTAAGCAAAAAAAAACAAAAAAGAGGAATTGTAACCTATTAATCATAAAAATACTCAGATGGTTCTAGTCTTTATTTACTCTACCTGTCTTGCTGTAAAGGCTTCAGCCCAGACTTTACCACTAGAGTCACACTGTTTTTATTCATTTATTTGCCAGGGAGGCGGGGGCAGGGGCGGCGGTGGTCTGATGGCACAGGGTCAGAACTCAGTTTCTGGTTTTCCTGATTCCCATGGCTTTTCTTCTCTCACCTGTATGACTTGTCAACCCTGGTGGCAACGTCATTTCTGTATTTAATGCAATCAGATCTTCCCACACTGACTTTGCAGTGTTACTGCCATTGTTAATCTAGAATTATAATTTACTGTTAACCTCTGGGCTACTAGGTAATATATATGTAAATGACACACAGAGAGACTATAAAAAAGATACTAGATCCCCACCTTTTCTCCCACTCGATGCTACACATCCCCCTGTTGCTGTTTTAGGTAACGAAACACATCCATCACAGCTGGATGGCACTCCCTGTGTTCTGGGGACACCAAGATGAGTAAGAGATGGTACCTGCCCGCATACTTACTGCCTGTCCTCAAAGAGCACCTCCCCTTTCTAAAGAGCAAGGTAGCTGCCCATGGACACACTTGACTTCAGAGGCACCACGGACAGGAGACGTTCTGTTTGCCACACCTCCTCTCCACATCAAACCTGCAGACACCTCTGCGGTGTGTGCCACTGGCTGAGGATTTTGTCTCCTTATCCTTGCCACGATGGGTTCCTGCCTCAAATACTTCATCCAAGTACAATTTCCCCATGAAATCAATGAGTAAGACCAAAACCAAACCCATATCTTCCCTACACTAGACACCTCCTCTCCACATCAAACCTGCAGACACCTCTGCGGTGTGTGCCACTGGCTGAGGATTTTGTCTCCTTATCCTTGCCACGATGGGTTCCTGCCTCAAATACTTCATCCAAGTACAATTTCCCCATGAAATCAATGAGTAAGACCAAAACCAAACCCATATCTTCCCTCCACTAGTGCCTTCTCCTGCCTTCCCTGTTAATGACATCATCGTTCTTCCAGTCTCCAGGCCTGAAAGCTTAGCAGCATCTCTGACTCCTCTCTGCCCTGGTCCCCACAGGGGTCCGAGCAGCTTTGGAGTCTGATTCCACCTGGCCAACACGAGCCTCTCCAGGTCCTCTGCCCACCATACTCAAAGGCCACCATCTCAGTCTTGTACCATCTCAGTTGCTTGCTACCTTCTCATCTCACCTGGTCCTCCCTTACCCAAGCCATCCTGTACTTTGCTTCCTTGTGACTCTCCTTAGACTCTGAGACTTAGCTCTGAACATATCACCAACCTGCTCAAAACCTTTAATAACCCCCCAGAACCTACTGATCCACTGATAAAAAAGACTTTTCTTTATTTTTTTAAATAGGGGCTAATTTTTTTTAATTTTTATTTATTTTTTGAATGCATTGGGTCTTTGTTGCTGAGCACAGGCTTTCTCTAGTTGCGGTGAGCGGGGACTGCTCTTCGTTGTGGTGTGCAGGCTTCTCATTGCAGTGGCTTCTCTTGTAGCGGAGCACGGGCTCCAGGTGCCCGGGCTTCAGTAGTTGTGGCACATGGGCTCAGTAGTTGTGGCTTGCAGGCTCTAGAACGCAGGATCAGTAGTTGCGGCGCCCGGGCTTAGTTGCTCTGCGGCACGTGGGATCTTCCCGGGCCAGGGCTCGAACCTGTGTTCCCCGCATTGGCAGGCGGATTCTTAACCATTGCACCACCAGGGAAGTCCCGAAAACTTTTCTTTAATTATGAGCATGTATCAACGTTTTATCACAATCCTGCTGGGGGAAAAAAATTTTTTTTTCCAGCAGGCTAATTCAAAGGTTTACTCATAGTAGGGGTCTTTTATAGGAAAAGACAATGGTAGTCATTGTTGTACAGGGTACAGAAAGCCTGGCTAAAGGACACAGACTCCTGACTGACAGCTGGTAGGGCCCATGAGTGGATTCCGAGAACAGGTCTTAGTCTTTTAAAAATTTATCAGATAATCAATTGAGCAGTTATCAGGAATGCTAATTCTCCCCAGAAGGGGATTATAAATTATATCACCCACTAAAGTTCTGTCCCAGACAGACTGGGTACAGTTTTTCTTTAACAATAGTCATAGGAACATTGAGCTTTTGAGCTGGAAGGGTTCTTAGGGATGAGCCTCTCAGGCCCAGAGTGGGCAAGTGTGGGCCCCCAGCCATATGCAGTGAGCTGGGTCCCAGCCAGGGCTGCCATTTGTTCTCAGGCTGGCAGGCAGCTCTCCAGCCATAACCAATGGGTTTCCCAGAACAGCCAGTTCCTTGGAACTCAGAATGGTGGTTAGGGTCCCAGGTCTGCTGGAAAGAAAAGCCAGTTTACCTTCAAACTAGCTGAGCATCACATTAATAGCATTATGGAATTAGCCGTGGTTCATTACTGTGCTGCTATGGGGAAAGACTACAGACTCCAACTTTGAACCACAGAAGTACATCCCTCCGCGCTCCCTGTCCCAGTGTCCTGCCAGCCACAGGGGTGGAGCCCCCGTTTCTAAGTGTTTGGTGAGGGCTTCTGGGTAAGGCGGCCAGAGAAGCCTGAGAAGGGAGTGTGGAATAGGATGGGGGAGGAAGAAGAGAGGGTAAGAGGGGGGAGATGAAAGACAGGGCAGCGGCAGGAAGCCAGCAGGAAGTGTGTGTGGGTGAGCGTGAGGGAAGTGAGGGGCTGGCGGAGGGAGAAGAGGGGACCCCCCCAGTTATAATGGACACCTTCAGTCAGGTGTCCGAAGACGGGCCTGACCTGAGGGCTCTCAGATTGCGACTTTATGATCCCTTTAGATTTATTCATCTAAATTCAACCCCTGGAGCTTCTTGAAGTTGTCTAAGTTACACCCACTTGCCAGGCCTGATCTGTCCTCCTCTCCAACTTCCCTCTCCCTGGGAGGGAGTCCTGGCAGCATGGAGGGCATGCTATTTCTTTCCCAGGGGCCCATCAGTAGGGCTCCTGCAGTTTCTCTCCCAGGGCTCCCTGTGGCTGTTGGAAGCATGGGGGGAGGTGAAGAAAGGTGCCCCTCGTCTGCCACATGTTCCTCCTGCACCAGCCTCCACGAAGTCTGGAGAGGCAGGTTACCCTGGCAGAGAGGCAGCCAGAGCATGTCGTTGACATGGATAATACGGCCAAGAGCTCAAGGAACAGACCTATGTGTCCTGTTTTATGTTTTCTTTCGCTGGAGGTGGGGGAAGAAGCTGACATTTGTTGGGGGAAGGAACATCAGTAAAACTACTGTGTACTGAGGCGCGGTGCAGCCAGGCTCTGTGCTAAGTGTTTCATTGAATCAACACCACAATCCCATTTCACAGATTGGGATCCTACTGTGTTTTCTCTGAAGCACTTATTCCCTGACACTATATTACACAGGGCATGCTGTCCCCATAGGATTAGAAGCTCCTTGAGGGCAGAAATGTTATTGACTTGTGCATCCCAGTATTTCCACTTCCTAAAGAGTATCTGCCCCATTGTAAGGGCTCAGTAAATGTTTTGGGAAGGAATGAATATGAAAATTGAGTCTCAGAGAGGTTCCGCAACGGTCCAAGGTAGAGATGATCATTCATCCCCTTGTGAGGTTTTTCTGAGGGCTAGTGGAACAATGTAAACAGAAAGTGTTTAGCATAGAGCCTGGCACATAGTAAGTACTCTGTGAATGTTAGCTGTCGGTATTATATGCAAGATCTTAGTTGGATGACTTTCTTGCCTGGGCTCATGAATCTTAGAGCCCTCCCTGAAGGACATAGGTCACTGAGCCAATTCTCTGGCCACCATCAGAGTGAAAGCATACAATTCTTGGGAGAGAATGAATGGGCCCAAAGAAAACAATTAGCTCGTATGCTTATGGGTTTGGGGGACGAAACAGCCAGTCTTCCATGCACAAACGGCCCTCTTCTAACCGTCCCTGAGCCCGTCGCATCATGGCCAAACTTACCCAGTCCTTCCCAGTTCCCTGACCCACCCACTCCCACCCTCACCCTCAAGAGCATCTTTTGGCCCTGGTGCCCCGCCCACTAGGAGAGTTCAGTGGGTACCCAAGTCCCCATCAGGGAGTGGTGCTTGGAAGCCCTATGGAAGCTCAGTGAATCCCAGGAGGGGCACACAGCCTCAACTGCCTCCCAGCCCTGTGATGCTCAAGACAATCAGCCAGGTGAATTGGAGGGAGAACCTGGTCACAACAGCAGTTACTGTCGACGTAGGAAAGCACAATGCAGTTAAAAGCCTATTTCTTTTTCTCTTGCATATATTGATCTGCTTAGCTTTGTGCCAGGTTGTTTGCTGGCAGTTAATTCAGAGTCAGCACCAAGGCTTGCACTTAACATCGCTTTCCTGAATACGCAGGGGCCTCCCGTTCAAACCCATAAAGATGCTGTGACTGCTTTGCTCAGCTACCCAGGCTGTGCTGTGATTTTAGTACCTTATATTCGGGCTAAAGTTAAGTGCAGGACCTGGACTCCCTGTTCTGTCATATTGCTAAGTGAGGGCCATGATGATTAAAAACAAATCTAATGTCCTTTCCAGTTCCTTGATCCTGGAAAACAGGAAATAATTTTGTTTGTGTAGAGATGACATCTAGTCAGTCAGGTCTTTCTTCAGACCACATGAAAACCTTATGCTCTTTTTGGACCTGGCTCTTGTTTTGACTTTGCCATTAGCTAGCTGTGGGATTCTGGCCCTCACATTCTGTCTCTGAAGCTGTCATTTCCTCATATTTTCAATGGGGGGGTTGGGCCAGATGATGATGACTAGTATCTTTATGGTACTTTATAGTTTCTATAACACTTAAATCCACATTGACTCAGTTTGCCGTTTATAACTTTATGGTCTTGGTCTCTGTCTCAGTTTCTTCATCTGTAAAATGGGGATAATATTAGTACCTTCCTGGGAGGGTTGTTGTGAGGATTAAATGAGTTTACACATATGTAAAGTGGCACCTGGTAGATGTCTGCTCTTAGCCTCTGCACCATGGTTATTGCCTAATTTGGGCCTCATAACAACCCTTAAGGTAAGGATTTCTTTTTCCCTTCTTATAGATAGTTAAGCACTTACTCCTAAACTGGCAGAGGAAGGATTCACCTGCAGCCTCTCCAATTTCAAATGTTTGTTCCACACCAACACAGAGACAGTTGTCAAAGGCTCATCAGCGCTGACACTCCATGGCTCTGTCAGTGTTCCAGAGACAAGACCCGTGTAACTGGGGCTCTGACGATCATCAGACATGCTGGGCAGGTTTTTCCCTCCTGTTCTTCTGTGAGGCTTTCCTTGGAGGCTAAGCACCTAGGGAAACTGAAAAAACCACCTGTCAAGTTGCCCTCTCCCCACAGAAGGGCAGCAGGAGTAGGCACTCCACAGAGAGAAAGCCTTCCCTTCTGTGCTGCCTCTTGTGCCAGGAGGCTGATGTCTACTCCAGCCCCTGGACAGGACCCTGGTGACCACACCCTCCTCTACCTCCCCCCTCCTCACCTGGACACTTACCATTTCCAGCTTCTTCTCACCACCACCTGCTTCCTTTCAGGCAGGAAAGTACCAAAGGTGGACAATTAAGTCATTTAAAACCATCTTCACGGTAGATTTTTACTGAACAAAAAGGCAGTATTTATGTCATTTAGACATTTCTGAGAAGACCTAGCTGTTCTTTTAGAATATCACTTCAGCGCCAATGAAAAATATAATCCAGCCTTAGTAATAAATTTTTAAAACATACACACAGAAGTTATCAGCCTGCAAAACAATGTTTCCCAGGCCTTCCCACACGTCTCAGTATTTTAACAACGTCCCATCTGTTGATGTCAGTCTGAAGAAGCAGGCCTGTACTCTCCAATTTTATTAAAATCCTTTCTGGCTAGTAACCTGATTTCTACTAGGCTGGCCTACTTACTTCCAGGCCCTGGGCCTGTGGGCCTGTGCCAGTTTGCATGGCTGACAGAAATGGGAACAGTTAATCAAAAATCTGTTTAGCTTGTGCTTAATAAGAAATGTTTCCTCTTGCTCTTGTTACTAATTGCTGAAGATGTCTGTGTTTGGATTAAAACTTTGTCCCCTGCCATCTGGATGCCATTGATATGTCTCAGCTCTGTCGTGAGCCAGGTGATATCAGTGGTTTCCATGTCAACAGATGACAGCGTCATATGTTGAAATGTGTGATTGCAGTGCAGTGAAAGAGCCAGCCTTGGGAAAGAGGCAGCTCTGGTTTCACACCAAAATATCTTCACTGATTTTCAGACACTGCTTGGAAATGATTTCAGTTTTATGCCAATTACATTTACATGTAAAATTGCAGTGTAAATGTTTTTTGCCATTTGGGAAAGGAAACAATGGACTTGTTAATACCTAGAGTTCTATTCGGTGGGAAAGACATTTCCTCAAAGAGGCCTTGTAAAATCTCCAGCTAAAGTGAAAGAAGTCAGACAGAGAAAGACAAATACTTATGTGTGGAATCTAAAAAATACAACAAACTAGTGAATATAACCAAAAAGAAGTAGACTCACAGGTAAAAAGAACAAACTAGTGGTTACCAGTGGGGAGCAGGGAGGGACAACATAGGGGTTGGGGAGTGGGAGAAACAAACCACTGGGTGTAAGATAGGCTCAAGGATGTATAGGACAACACGGGGAATATAGCCAATATTTTGTAATAACTGTAAATGGAAAGTAACCTTTAAAAATGGTATACAAATTTTAAATAATTTTTAAATAAATAAATAAAATCTCTAGCTGATAGGAAATGTTTACTCTGTGAATCCAAGAAATGTACCATGTACCCAAAATCGAAATCCCACATAGAGCATGGAACTCTGCATCCAAGGGCAGCAATGGTACATATTTATCTATTCAAAGTGTGCCCCAGGCCTCCAGGTCTTGGTAATGTAGCCTATCTAAATATAGCATCAGTAACAACAGTGTATAGGCAGTCCTGAAATAATTAAGAAAGAGACAGGAACCACCCCTCAACTTCGGGCTCCAGTCTACTGTGTCCAATACAGGATTAATAAGAGATGAATTTTAATAATCCTTTCTAAGAGTTCATGATTTCATTAAGGAAAAAGATCGTTGCAGAATCATTTCCTTATAAGGTAGACTATATCGACAGACGTAAAAAAACATGTTATGTGAACCTAGGGAAATTTACCTGATAGCAGTCTGTTTTATTTACTTTTCTCTAGATCAAGAATGCTGCAGCCAATGTCCTTCGGGAAACGTGGCTAATCTATAAACACACAAAGCTGCTAAAGAAGATTGACCACGCCAAAGTCAGGAAACACCAGAGGAAGTTCCTCCAAGCAATCCACCAGTGAGTAGGCCGGGGCAGCTCAGCCACCAGAGGACGAAATTAGCAGTGGTGGGTTCCCCAGAGCTCCATCAGTATCTTCTTGTATACTTAGAGGAGCAGGAGAAATCCATCCTTTCCCACTCAACAACCAGTGGGGGCGGGACGCAGATCAGTCTGTTTATTCACTTATTGCACCTGCCACTGCCAGACATTGGACAGACTGCTATGGAAGGTAAAAATTAGGTAGGAGCCTCAGGGGGCTCTCATAGTCTACACACACACACACACACACACACACACACACGCACGCACGCACGCGCGCACACACACACACCCACATTACAACTGGAAGCAGAACAAATTGTGGTCAGTGCTTGCTATAAGCTAAGTATTTAAAAAGTATAGTGATTTTTAAAAGTAGAGGATGAAAACATTTATTCTGACCTGGAGGCTTGGGGAAACCCTGAAAGGCTGAGAATAGGGCACTTAAGGTGGAAGGCACAGCCTAGATAAAGGAATAGAAGCCGGGAAATGATCTGAGAGTGGTGAGGAAACTATAATGACTGAAGGTAGGCACACGTGGAGGCAAGAGTTTGCTTTCTTGGGGACCTGCCAAGCCCTTGATTCTGGTCAGTTGTCACCCACGTTCGAGGTCCTGGGCTGGGTTCCAAAACCAGATGAATTGATGTGGGTGTGGAATCTGCCCGTGGGGCTGAGCCCAGCGCTTGAAGAGCATGGCTGTTACGACTCGATTCCGCAGACTGAG